GATTGATTGATGATGATGAGTTTATAGGCCCGATCTAGTTCTTCTTCCTTCGATTTGTAGTGATTTGGTTAATCTGAAGAATTGAGAGTCTCCAGTTTCTTCGATTTTGGATTGATTTTGGTTTTTTTTGTTTGTTTGACTTGTTCGTCCTTAGGGTTTCGTGATTGATGATGATGTTATTGATGAGGCATAATTGGTGAGTTTGGGGGAGAGAGACCGTGAGGGTCCGAGTCGAAGCGCGATTTTGTGTTTCATGGGCAATACCTGCCGTGGATCTTTCAAAGGGAATATATTTCAGGGCTACAGCCAGCCCGAGGAGAGTTCAACCCCAAATTATAAGCGCAACATCAACGGTTCTTCTGACCATTCCCCTTCCAGCGTCAACACTAACAATCTAATTTCCCAAGCCTTTGCTGAAGAGAACAAAACCAAATCGAAGGACAACGATTGCAAGAAACACTACACAATGAGGAAAAGCGCCGAGAATCAAGCCTATTATGTTTTGGGTCATAAGACTGCCAACATTCGAGATCTGTATACGCTCGGTCGGAAGTTAGGACAAGGACAGTTTGGAACTACTTATTTATGCACTGAGATTACGACTGGCATTGAGTATGCTTGTAAGTCTATCTCCAAGAGGAAGTTGATTGCGAAGGAGGATGTGGAGGATGTTCGGCGGGAGATTCAGATCATGCACCATTTGGCAGGTCATAAGAATATTGTTACCATCAAGGGTGCTTATGAAGATTCTTTGTATGTTCATATTGTTATGGAGCTTTGTAGTGGCGGTGAGTTGTTCGATAGAATCATCCAGAGGGGGCATTACAGTGAGAGAAAAGCTGCTGAATTGACCAGGATTATTGTTGGTGTTGTTGAGACTTGCCATTCGCTTGGAGTTATGCATAGAGATTTGAAGCCAGAAAATTTCTTGTTGGTTAATAAGGATGATGACTTCTCTCTTAAAGCTATTGATTTTGGCCTCTCTGTTTTCTTCAAACCAGGTGAAAAGAAAGAGCAGTGGTTACTCTTTTCCTTTTATGTTTTATTGATGAGTCGTATTGAATTGTGTTTATTTCATGGTTCGGATTAGGTTACTTTACTTAGGCTTCTTTTTCTTCCATGCACATTGCTGTAATCACTGCATCAAATGGTTTCTCATTGCTAATATGCACAAAACCACTTCAGGTCAAATCTTCACTGATGTTGTTGGAAGCCCATACTATGTTGCTCCAGAGGTACTGCTCAAGCATTATGGGCCAGCAGCGGACGTGTGGACTGCAGGAGTTATACTGTATATATTGCTAAGTGGCGTCCCACCGTTTTGGGCAGGTAATTGTAGTTTTCAAATTGAAACACTACTAAGAACCTGAATGGGTTGTTGCCTATTGGTTGAGGAATTGGGGTGTTGGGTGGTAATGGCTCCTAGATCCTTGGTATCGATCATTCGGACAAGTTGATTATTAAGGAAACCCTTTATATATCTGGTAGGTAGTATTATCAAGGCTCTAGATATCTCTTTAGGCACTAGTGGGGTGGGGTCCAGCACCATGGTTATAAAAAGAGGTAACAAATGAACAAGTTATTATGTATGGTTGCTAAATAGTTCTTTTCTCCCTCTTCTCCATACTCAGAAACTCAACAAGGAATATTTGATGCTGTGCTTAAGGGACATATCGACTTCGACTCTGACCCTTGGCCCCTAATATCTGACAGTGCAAAGGATCTAATAAGAAAGATGCTATGTTCTCGACCATCAGATCGGTTGACTGCACATGAAGTATTATGTATGTTTACTTCTCTACATGTCTTAAGTTTTTATGAATGTAGTATATGGAATTAGAGATAAAAAAAAGTTTCGTTTTAGGTCTTTAATAAGCGTTTTCACACTGTTCTAGATAACTTCAGATGCTCCTTTCTGAAATGTGTATTTTGGTCAAAGTATAATTCAATCTAAGGTTCATAACCCATATCAGTTTCTTTTTTATTAAGAAAAAATGAACAAATAAAGAATCCTTTTAACATCTCTTGAATTTTCTGACAGACCAAGACATAATGTCATTATCTCTTACATCGTATTTCTTCATACCTTGAAAAATTATGGTTTTGTTGTTACAAATGGGGTAATTGCATTCATTATTCATATATTACTGAATCTGAATGAATTATTATACCTTAATAATCTGTACAGGCCACCCTTGGATTTGCGAAAATGGAGTTGCTCCTGATAGGGCTCTCGATCCAGCTGTACTTTCTCGACTCAAACAGTTCTCTGCAATGAACAAGTTAAAGAAGATGGCATTACGAGTAAGTGTACAACATACTTTTCGCATAGGTGGGAGAACTGAAGTTGGACACCTATTTAAATGTTATTTTCAAGTTTGCATGGATCAAATATCTTGTTATTGGAAAAGGCTTAATGCATGCTCGCACTCACCCACATTATTGTCTTAAACAACATTGATGTTTAATCTGCACTGTTTGTACCATTAGGTGATTGCTGAAAGCCTTTCTGAAGAGGAGATTGCTGGCCTAAGAGAAATGTTCACAGCTATGGACACTGATAACAGTGGTGCAATTACGTTTGATGAACTCAAAGCTGGTTTGAGAAGATATGGTTCAACCTTGAAAGATACCGAAATACGTGACCTCATGGAAGCGGTAACTTTTGCATGCCTTGTAGGAAATTTACATTTCTTTTGCACGAGCATATTTATGATTTTCACCGTCAGTGATTACATAGACATTGTTCATAGCACTCGCAATTTAATTCCTTGAGATTAACTAGTCATATTCTTAGTCAATCAAGGCATTAAGTGCATCTTACTGTGGAGAAACTTCAAATGTACATGTGGATACGATATTAGCTGCAGTAGCGGAAGACTAAGGGTCACCGGGCATAGTATAGTTGGTGGTGTCGAGGCTAATTATTTTGTTTTTGATAGCTACTAGAACAGTGGGAAATATCTTGTTTGATGTGGTTGTTGAATTTTCATAAGAATCTGTATGGTTTTTATGCTTACTAGTTGTTGAACCCCATGAAAATTTACTTAAATTTCTTTCAGGCTGATATTGACAATAGTGGGACTATTGATTATGGGGAGTTTATTGCTGCAACCATTCATCTCAACAAACTAGAGCGTGAAGAACACCTTGTTGCAGCGTTTAGATACTTCGACAAAGATGGAAGTGGTTACATCACAGTAGATGAACTGCAGCAAGCTTGTGCAGAACATAATATGACCGACGCGTACCTTGAGGATATAATCAGAGAAGTTGATCAAGATAATGTAATTCTCACAAACTTATTCGAGAATCAATCTATTGTTACTTATCTTTTATAAGTAGAATCTAACTGGGGTAGAGTTTCGGTCATGACCGTATGTTGATTATCCACTGGGTCTATATCATGATTATATATGCTCATGATCTTAGATTGGGACACTAGGATAAGTTCGAATAGGAATATAAAATTACTCGAATTTTCCATGCTGTTGAGGAACTATTTTGGGGCATGGTGTGAAAAGAAAAATGGAGACGGGTTCTAATGAACTCGGGAAAACTGAGGATTAGTCTAGCGAATGTGAGTAACATTGGATTATTGATAAAACATAATGCATCTTGGTTGAGTTTCCCTTGCAGAAGATCTATTGATTAAATGGGCAAACAAAGTGATGAATTTTTGTTGTGTAATGCAGGATGGAAGGATTGATTATAGCGAGTTTGTTGCCATGATGCAGAAAGGCAATGCAGGAATTGGAAGACGAACTATGAGAAACAGTTTGAATTTGAGCATGAGAGACGGACCTGGTGCTCTTTAGTTTCCGAATCACGTGCCTGATGTACAGGTACTGAGCGCCTATCGACATGTACTTCTCGGTTTGATCCCTTTTCGAGAGGTTGGGAGGCTAAAAAACTTAGAATCAGGTTTGATGAGTAGATAATTAAGTGGTTTAGAATGATGGCTACTTCCTATGACTCAAGTCTTAACTCAAACAATCTAGGCTGATGCAAAAAATCTTTAAAGACAGCATAGGTTTTGTTGTCCGAGATTATCGATACATATGACGCCTTGGAATTCTGCAGGTTGTACAGCGGATGTAAAGCTGGGGAATCGACTCTTTCCCGACACGATTGAGCTTCTTTTCCTCCTAGCTTCTAGGATCGTTGCCAAGGATTTCTGTGGTGAGAACTCTGCTCGAGTATTTCTCTAACGTTTCCTTCTTATCGCTGTATAGCCAAAGGATGTTGTGGTATATGAACATCTGAGTGTGTGAAATTGCAAGAGCTGTTTGAGTTGGTAGGTTCTTTTGCATAACATTTTCAATTGGGGACTATTAAATGTTTGTATAGATACCATCTTCTACCTCTGGCTTGGATTTCGTTCCAATATTGTAACTTTTCTCCATTGCTAATTCCATTGTTCGACCAAATGAATAGTTTTATCTTATTGCAGCTTGGGAGAATTTTTCCTACTTGTGATTCCTTACACCTAAAGGAAGTAGTAATGTGTGCACATATTTGTTTATATGCTTTACAACTAAAGATAATCGACTTCGATCGAGCTAACACGAGGGAACTTTTCTTCTTATAGATGGGAGGTTGGGCATCGACCTAATGATCAGCCTAAAATTCAATCTATGATAATCACCCACCTAACATTTAATAGAATTTCCTTAATCACTCGAATATTATAGGGTCGGATTGTTCAATCAAAAGAATCTCCTGAACATTCTAGGGTCGGATTGTTCAATCAAACGAATCTCCTGAACATTATAGGTATAGGGTCGGATTGTTCAATCAAAAGAATCTCCTGTCTATGTTCAATGAGATAAATCTCAAAAGAATCTCCTGTTTATGATTTAATAAACTACGAGTTTTCTTGACACTCAAATATAGCAAAAATGAATGGTGTATATGTATGTGTGTGATATATGTATATATATATTTTGAAGTATGAAAGGTTCAACGTACATTAAATCGTGCTAGAACTACCAAAATCATGTGGAGAAGTTGGTCATATATAGAGCTTCTTTAGAAACAATAAGATTGTTACTAGATCTGGAAACGATTGCACACTACAAGTGAGTTTTTATATATTTATACTTCATTCTGTAGAATGGCAAATACATAGCATACTTATTTCAGAGCTATACTTTATCCAAAGTCACCTTGATGTAATCCGAACGCCTACGTGATGGCTAATGAAGGAATCGGCGCCTTCTCTCTAGCTCGATTGAACCGCTGTCCATTGGTTACCATATTAAGCAGGGGTCTCATTTGCAATCGATATTTCCTGCATGTGGAAAAGTAGGCAGTGTCAAACTTAATTAAGCACATGTCGACCAGCCGAATAACAAAAGACGAGACAAGTTCAGTCTTGATTGAAAAATCTATGCCTAAATATATAAGTTTAAATTTCAAAGAATTTTCCTTATTACTAAGATTGTTTTGTCTTCAACCACTCCCCACCAAGAAAAAGAGAAAAAGACCTAAGAAAACAACCAAAAGAAATCTCCAACCAAATCCAAGTATTTGGGATATGAGAAGAAATGCAGAGCCTAGAAATTAAACTTGTACGGCCAACAAACTTCAGTTCTCTCATATAAGCATTTCAACATGTGAATGTAAACCGTCTTAAACGAAATGCAAATATATCCCTAGACAAACATGATTCAGACAGACCAACTAGCTTAGAGGGTCATTCGGTACGAAGCACGAAAGCATAGCGGGTAGAGAAAAAACTTAGACGGTTACCAGACCACAACTATGCATGAAAGCCAGAGGTAGTGTGTTCTTTTCTTCAGTTTAAGTTGCAGTATAAGTTAAAAATTGGACATGCTAATTTTGGTTCGTGGGTAGCGTATATAAATATGTACAGACAAGCTGTGAGATTCCACATCGATTGGGGAGAAGAAGGAAACACCCTTTATAAGGGTGTGGAAACCTCTTCCTAGCAGACGCGTTTTAAAAACCTTGACGGAAAGCCCGAAAGGAAAAGCCTAAAAAGGATAATATCTGCTAGTAGTGGAATTGGGCCGTTACACAAGCATCAAACTATTTTTTTTAGAAGATCATTTAAACATTTGAGAGTAAACTGTTCAGCGTATTTAAATGCAAAAACTTGCCTTCAATTTTGCTGAGCTTGAGAAGATGCATCTTGATGTAATTGCATGCCCGTGATCGAAAAGCCATCCTACTTCACAGCAAGTATCCTCACTGTCTTCACTTTCTTTAAGGGAACACCATAGTTGCTTAGGAAGTACCTTGAGTTCTGATTCAGTTCTCACCGACTTTTGCACATTGTCAGCCAAAAGTTCTTGTATAACATTCTGCAGTCAATTTTCCAATACATATTCAAACAGGAAACGGAGTTTATATTCTGCCTGTTAAATTCACTTTAGCATGGTTACAGTGACACCATATAGACTAAATGTCTTGAAAAAGAAATGGAATGGGGAAATTGTTTGCAAAGTAAACAACAATTTGCTCAAGGATTACTCCAAATATGCTATCAAAATTTTGGTGAATGGATAGATGCTGTACAAACTATAAACTAGTTCCCACTGATAATTGACCAGATGAACACTTGGATACACATTTTTCCATCGGTCAAAAAAGTAAGGTTCGAGACCTCAGTTTACCAAGTAACTTGCCATCATAATTTAAAAAATATTGGGGTGTGGGCAAATATCATTACAAAAAAGTTGTAAATTGTAATCAATCATTCAAGAGAAATCACCGATGCATAGAAGTCACAAAATTTGTTGATATTTTCTGAAAATTCATAGTATCAAAGATTTTGTCGATGATGCCAGGCAATCTTTTGATTTCATACTTATAAGCAAAAGATTAAAATTTGACCTCTAAGAATCTTAAGGAAAAGAAAAACAAAAGTTATGGATCAACACCAAAGCATTAGGCAATGCAAAACTAAAAAATGGTAGCATCGAACTAAAACTGAGATTTTAGGATCACTTCACCGGGCTATAAAAGATGCTCAAAAGCAAGGGAAGGTTAGATGACTCACAATCTGAGAACCATCAAAACGGGCAACAGAGACAGGACCCTGCCATGAACCAACAACCTCAGAAGCTTTCAAGGCAGCTGTAGAAGCAAATGATGAGTCTCGGATGGCGCATCCACCAAGCTGTTCTCCGTTTCTGAATGGTCCATACCACTGCTCGCAGAAAACTTTGATACTCTGCAACACTAGCCGTGTGCCTTCGACTCGGACAACTTGAACAACCCTCACACGGGATTCACGATCTTGAGGACTAACCAGGCAATGCTCCAACTCCATTAACTTATAAGAACCCACAACCTTAACCGGCCAAACAACTACATAACATCCACTACGTTGATACGCAAAGGCAGTCACTTCATCATTTGAACCAATTCTATTTCCAACATTTCTCTCATCAATGCTGTAACGGGTTGCAGCATCGGCTTCACATCCCACTGTAGGAAGTAGCTTTATTGTCTTGTACATGAAAGAGGGCTTCTCAGGTTCCGCAAGAGTGGGGCACTGAGTCTGCCAGTCGAAAACCTTAACCTCCCATTCCCTATAAGCATCGGGGACAACGAATTCTGGAAGTTCAATTGGCGTTCCTCCAGAAGAAAAATCCGCACCATATCCATCCCATTCGCCAGAGACGTTTTTGGCAAAATCAGACCACCCTTAAAACGAATGGATACACAAAATAAATCGTCTGTTTTCCAAATATCTTCCAAATATCCAACACTCAAGCCAAATTTTGTGTCAAAGATTTAAAAGCATGAAAATAAAACCACAAAACACGGATGGATTCAGTTAATTAGAAACCAAGCACTGAAAATCCAGTCGAACTGACGTTGCAAGTCATTCCAATAAGAACTAATGATGAACACGAAATAAAACAGTAAAAGAAAATAATTCCAACAACACTTACCACTACCAGGAGCAGAACTGGAGCTCTGACTTTGAACATGAGCATCGGATAGAGCAGTTTTAGCGACGACGGAAGAGGGCGCCGAAGAAAGAGACGGAGCGGCGTTTATCCCGATGTTCGAAGACAAACGACGATTGCAATGAAGAATACGCTGCGATTGAAGCCGTGAGAAGCAGCGATGGTGTAAAAGTCCCGGAGAAGAAACGACGGAGGACGACAAGGCTCTGTTCTGACAGATAACACTACTAGAAGAAGCGAACGCCATTGAAATCCTAACAAAGAAACCTTCAATACTTGTTTGTGATTAGATGAAATCTATAAAACTCTCCGGTTTCCTCAGCCCCAGCGTCGCCGGAGCAGAAGAGAATCGGAGAATTCTGAGAGGAGAAGAGAGAACCGGAGAAGGCAGTCTGAGAAGAATATTCGTGGAAGAAAAATCGCGAAAAAAAATAAATAAATGGAGAGGAAAATGCGAAATTGAGTTCAGTTTGGCATGTGAACTGTTCGTCATAAAACGACGTCGCTTTGGGATATCCGTCAACCACATGCTGAACTCGTCTACGTGTCACTCAGAGGACGTTCCACTGGCCCAGCCCAATCAGCTGTCGTTTTGGACTTATCTGGCCGAAAAAGTTCATTTAAGAAAGAAATAAATAAATAAAGGTATTTTAATTTTATAATTTTTTTTTTTAATTTTAAATCTAAGGATTAAATGAAATTATTTTAAAATTTTTATGTATATTAAGTCTATATATATATATTTTATCCAAATAAATTTTTGAACTTTATATGTCCGAATATGTCCCTGTATTTAAATTTTATGCTCAATCGCAACAATCTCACATCTTTTTTTAAAAGGCTTTTTTAAAAAAAGACTAAAGAATAACGAATCTTAGCCTCATCCATTTACACGTGAGTTTTATAATAGTAACCTCTAGAGATTTATTGTCCTAGTGTATAACACGTCTTATGGTATTATGTCTTTGACGTACATATCGAGAATTATTATTATACATCAAATTTTGAGCTCTTCCAATAACAGATCGACTATGACAATATACAATAAATCACATAACCCATTTTTTTCATACTAGTTACCCAATTTGCAACTAATACCCCTCAAGGATAATCGAGTATAATATAAATCATAATTAATCAATTATCTAATATAATATAAACCGTAATCTTGAGTATATTTTAAATATCTCAACCACCGTTTTAAACTTGGATCATTTATATATCGACTTAACATACTTATTCTAAATCGACTTAACACGACATAGGTCACTATTGTAGACCGTGTGTCATTAAAGGTGTGATACGTTGCATAACGAACGAGGTGAGAGAAAGAGAGCCATAAAAATTTCCTAAAAAAAGTTTCACTTAGACGAAAGATTAGACTATTCAAATATAAAACTTTTGGGTCGATTCAAATAAAGGGATAAATTACCTCTCTAAGGTCGAAGGTTCGAACCCTCACTCCAACACGAACACGACATAATTTAAAAAAATCAGTACCTGTAAGCGCTTCCCAATGATAGGAAAGTAAATGGCCATCATCCATAGCTTTTTCCAGCCAAGGCTGTAGCCAGAAAAAGAAAAATGTCTTTATAACAGAAATAAAGGACCAATTTGTGAATAATACGAATGTAAATTCCCTCCGTTTAAACAGGGCTACTACCTAATAACATTCACAAATATCTCTATGCTAGCATGAACTATGGATCTCCCCTTCCCCCCTATGGAAGCAAATAACAGTTACGAAAACACGTCTAGACATGTCAGCTTTGCGCCCGAAATACGAAAGGATTGAAAATAAATTGTCGCCTAATACCGAGTTCATACAAGTACCATTGCCATCACATGTGTGTATTATCATAGTAGCCTGCTCAGAGACTTGATCAGCAATTTTAAATACCGAGTTCATACAAGTACCATTGCCATCACATGTGTGTATTATCATAGTAGCCTGCTCAGAGACTTGATCAGCAGTTTTAAATTCCGTTTTGTCGCCTCATCACCCGTGAACCCAAGAAGTTCGGAGCTCAAACTCTGTAACGAGATAGGAAGGATAAACCAAAGAGGAATAGAGAGATATAGTTATCAAGAGCAGTGTTTTAAAAAGTCGACTGGAGCGTGCGCGGTGCCTCGCTTCGAAGAAGCGGAGCTCCCTTAATGAAGTCCCGTTTATTGTGCTTTAGTGCACCTAGAGCTTTAAAAAACACTGATATTCGGATAAATCAAGAGGAGATTCAGCAATTAAGATCTCACCTCTATGTTCTTCAAAGTATGGATTAGCGTATATATGGACTTCTGAAGAAGCTCTGTGTTTTCCGGGGTCATAATCGACGCATGCACGCTTCTGTAAGAAAGTCTCGATAAGCATACATCGTGTAGAAGAAATTCATAATAATTGACAATATTATTATCTTTTTCGACTAATCTCAGGCGAAAATTGTGAAAGAACCGAGAGATTGTAGTCCATAAAGAAATCAGAGTTCAGCAACATCAAAATTCTAATATCTGAATTCAGGAATAGTTTACCTTAAATCTTCTGTGGCATGTGAAAGACTGCTAGTTAAGTTTTCAACCTCCTTTAGAAGACCACTGTCACGAACCTCAGCAAGCAAAGGTTGAACATCTTCAGCCATGGCTTGAATCTGAGACATCACTACATCAAATCAAAACAGTGTGCATGAGAAGATAGTTAGATCCGTGGGACTATATATCGAACTCACCAAGATAGACCGTAAAACACGAGCCTAATACATTTTAATACAAAAAATTAAAGCTTTCGAGGAACTTAAAGCTGTAAATTCTTGGTTCTTTTCAGAGGCCAATAACAGAATACCCAAGCAAACACCCATTTTCTAAACGAATGCAGCTCCTTATTTATGTCGAACTAAACATGTTTCAATAATATTTACTGTTTTAAGAATTTTTTTTGAGCTACAATCAAGGTCCTAACTACTATAACGGTCAATGTAAACTGTAACAGCTAGAGGCCACTACTAGTAGATATTGTCTGTTTTGGTCCATTACGAATCGCCGTCAGCCTCACGGTTTTAAAACGCGTCTACTAGGGATCGGTTTCCATACGCTTATAAGTAATACTTCGTTTCCATCTCCAACCGATGTGGGATCTCACAATCTACCCCTTTGGGGGCCCAGCGCCCTCGCTGGCACGCTGCCCAGTATCTGGCTTTGATACCACTTGCAACAGCCCAAGCCTACCGCTAGCAAATATTATCCGTTTTGGCCAGTTACGTATCGCCGTCAACCTCACAGTTTTAAAACGCGTCTACTAGGGAGAGGTTTCCACACCCTTATAAGGAGTACTTCATTCCCCTCTCCAACCGATGTGGGGTCTCACATAAACTGTCTAATATTTTTACTCCCTCTGGCTATACCTCCCTCATCGTAAATTGGGAAGGTATTTTGTAAACACCATGGATTTTACATCCCTATGAAATTGTCTCTTATAAAAAAAAATAATAATAATAATTAGATTCCATGGAATTACTGATATACGAATACTTCCTAGTCCTTACTCATTATTCTTTTGATAAGCCTTCCATCCTCTTCAAGAAATCTGTAAGCATCCCATCGAGTTACCAACAAAATACATTTTTACAACATTTAAAAAATATGAGCATACATAACTCCAATAACTATTTGTCCAGAAACCAAGATAGAAAATAAAGATTAAAGCATGAAATTGTAAGGAGTCACACCTTTAAAAGCAAAGGCCTCGCTTCTTCAACAACCAAAGCAACTCGTTGGGCTAAAGAAAACGTATTGGTAAGCCCTATTTCCTCCGCTTCCCGTCCAAGCCGAGTGAATATTCCAACTAATGCATCCAAACTTACCCCTTGATGTCCCTTCATTTTATGCTTATCACATAATATTAAGCCTTCTTTAATACATTCGGAGTCGAGTGGTCCCACTGAAGGCACTGGAATAGGATCCCTGGGAGTAATGTCAATCATCGTCTCCATAAGAAGACCAGATTGGTTTACTTCAACCAATGAATTAAGGGGTATAATGATTTTATCATCTTCAACCTGCAAAACGGGAGGTAAATCTTAGTTTGTGCAAAAAAAAATGGTAACCCTCTTTGTTGCCTATATAGACTACCTTTTAGTTCATTAAAATATCTATCAAGATTTGATAGTTTTGATTAGATAATCAAAGTGACTTCTAAAACTCTAAAAGCAATCAAAGTGCTTCTAGGGGAAACAATTGTTAATGCTTCTTCCCAAAGTATTAATAGAAAAAGTGCTTTCGTTTAAAAGCTTTTCTTTTTCAAAAGCGATCTCGAACACATTCTTAGTAAAATAAAATACAACGTTACAGTCAATCAGAGAAAGGGTGTGAATTAGAAGCATACCTCAACAATAGTTTCAATACATCTCAAGGAAGGGTTAACACGAATGACATTGCCAACAGTAACTCCTCTAATTCTTACAGGAGTTCCAGTCGAAATACCACAAGCCTGAGCAAACTCAAAGACAGCCAAGTATTTTCTAAATTTAGACCGCAATTGAAAGCCTCTCAACCAAGCCAAACTGAGTGTAAGAAGTATAGCACCTGACACTAGGAACAACCCAACCCCACCTTCCCATATGCTCCTTCGACCGAACCCGAAATTACTCAATGGACGCAATGTTCTCCTCCATACAGTACGAGGAACATCGAGAAAAAGGGCAAGCGGATTCGTTCTTTCTGAAGATGAAGGTGGCTGACTATGTCCAGCATCAGCAGATGTAGCCTTTATCTTCTTTACTTTGGATTTTAGACCGAATGGGAGATGATAAGACAACCTACTTGAAGATTTATGTGGAAGGGTAACCAAGGATGAGGGTAACGCCACAGAAAATGCTGCAACCTGCACACGAGCATCTCCCACCATTTTTTCACAACAGCGACAGTAAAACAAGGTTTAAACAACTGCCTGTGAAAACAATACAATTTCGGAACTATCAGCAGGTAATACAATATTAACTTGATATTGAAAAATAAGAAATTTTACAAGAGCACCAAGCCATCGACATGCTCATGTCCAGTTCAATGATCAAGAACATTACCCATGAATCAAAGCAGAGGACATGATAAAAAAAAAAAAGTTACAGGAAAAGTTTGTAAAATGGAATAACCTATGACTAACAAGAAGCATAAAACCCATCAAAACAGCTGAAAATTTTCCTTCCTACAACGGCACCCCGCCACAACGCTCGCCCCGCCCCAAAGTTATCTCTCAATATGATATTCGCCGCTTAGTTTTAGTATTTCCTTCAGTTAATTTTCCTTCCTAGTCTCTTTTCTCGCATTTTTCACAAAGAAACGGAAATTCAATTCACTCTCCCACTGCTGCTAACAATCATATTGGTAGAATTTTCAGATTCCAGAATTTAAAAAAATAGTAGTAAGCCTTCTCCACTTATTATGATCGCTTAATACACTAACATCAGTAACGCAAGACGAATAACAGAAATCCACATAAAACATCATCAAATCAGCTAATCCTAGATGTAAAAAGACGTATTCTCCAAAAAAAAATTTTTTAAAAACGTACATGAAAAATTCAAAACTAATAACCAAAAAACTATTCACGGAACAATC